TATTTTATTTTGTTTCTTCTGAATTTATAATTGATGTGAGGTTAGATAATGAGTATGCTTTTCAATTTTTCTTGCCTTTCCCCCAGGCTTATTACTATCAAGAATAAAAAAATAACTTGAAAAGATTCCTTAAGTAGACATTTTGCTTCACTTGTGAGACATTAAACAAAGATTTAGATAATTTATTTGAAAACATTTTTTCAGTGCTTTATTTTTGATGCCAGGGAAGTCTTGAACTGAAATGCTTTCTCATCTGTACATATTTATCCCTTTTAAATAAAATATCAGATGTTTCTGCTCTGCTTTGTGGAATTGGAGACAGGTTCTTCAGATTTTATTCTTCATAAACATTCATGTAGATTCTCAGATTCCAGCTTGGTCCTGGAAACCTAGCCACATAATTAATTTTGTATCTTAGTAGCTAAATGGTAAAGTATAATACCTGTTCTTTTGGATATAGAGGTTGCATATGATGTCTAATATGACTTTAAATATATTAACTATATGAATATGAATATTTTGCTAATATTTTCTATAACATCTTTGCTCTCTGTGACAAGCCAAAGCACAGCATTTATAAATTTCTCAATCTACAATTTGCAACAATAATTTCATGTTGATTAATGTAATTTTTGATTTTTTCAATGATGCCTTTCCTTTGAGAAGTTTGGGTTGAATAAAACTGATGATTAATGTGTAATAAGTGGTGTTAGAAAATTTGAAAAGAAAATTGTTACTCAATTTTTGTTGATAAAAACAGACCCATAACTGTCTGAACTCCCCAAAAGGCAAGAATTGTATTCTGACTCTGATTTATTAAATATCCTTTATAAAAAATTACTTATTATTATAGAAATAACTATATATGTTCAATAATTTTTCTTTTCATTTATAAATATAATTTTAGTCACATTTTTGTTTTTCTGTCCATCACAAATTCCTTTTTCCTGTGTACTAATTTTTTTCTGTAAAGACCTTTAAAAAACTATTTACCTAGGATTAGTTGCAGCTGAGTCTGTGTCATCACAAATCAAGAGAAAAGACCAGTGAGGGAGATGAGTGTGTGTAGTGCAGCTCTAGAGTAACACATGGACCAATAAATAATCATCACCGCTATGGGAGACTTAGGCAATAGAAATCATTAGTGCTTCATGTACACTAAGTCATTTAATCCCCAGAGCTACCTTATGAGGAAACTACATTACTATTCCCATTTTACAGGTGGGGAAACTGAGGCTTAGAGAGGTTGAGTATTTTGTCCATGATCACAGATCTATCTATCTGATTCTAGAGTCTATGTTCTTACACATTCTGAGGTATTCCCTCCAAGGCTCAGAAAAAACTCTATAGCTTTCTGGATCTTCTCTTTAAAGCAATACATTTCAGAGACATGTCACTTGCTGTAGGCTGCCAGCAAATGATAACAGCAATAGTAGCAGCAACAAGACTTGTTGGTTTGGCACATTCTTTGCACTCAGCAATTCTGGTAGTGCCAGGTCCAGTTGTTGATGGATTGTCATAGTGTCATCAGGGATGGAATGGCTTTCTGATCAGTGATATTGAAATGTATGAGGCCAAGATACAGTTATACTTGGTGGCCTAAGCTTAAACTTCCTCATGAATTGAGGGAGTGGATTTTTTTTAAGTACATGTGCATGGAAAAAAAATTGTTTCACATGATCTGTTGTAGAGCTAGGCCTCTCTTTGAACAGTAGCAGAGAGAAATGTGATTTAATTCAATTCTCCAAAGGCTTGATTGTCCTTCAGATATCATTTCCTTAAAATCACCTATTTATCTTATACCTTACATGAAGTTTACATTCTACTCAATAATATACACATGCATGTTATAAAAATGTTTATATTATTTACCATAAAGACCGATGGTTTAGGAAGGTTCTCTCTCTCTCTTTCACACACACACACACACACACACACACACACAGACACACACAGACTTTAAGACTTCTGGAAAAAAGTGTGATTAGGGATAGACCTTATAATGTATAAATTATATTTAAAATGTTCAAAAGTGGAAAAATTATTTGGCTTCTTTAAGAAACATTCTCTTTTTGATGCAATGTAATCTTTAAATGTTCTTCGTAAAGTACTTCTGATAGAAACAAATCTTCAGTGAAGAGAGAATGAATGTCCATGTAATTATTCTTATCTGTGACATTCTCATCAGAACATCCGTGGCAAAAAATCTCGAGATATCTCTATGTGTTACTAAAGTGTTAGTTTTGCCCATTTGAGTTGGCCTCGGAAGCCTGGTGATTTGGAAAGATCTTGAGTCATGGGAAGCATAGCTTCCAGTTTGGGCTCAGTTATTCACTAGCACTGTGACTTTATGCTAGTCATTTACATGCTCTGGAAATCAGTTTCTTTATCCATAAAATGAAGAATTCAAACAAAATGATATCTAGCTTTGCTGTCATTTGGTAGAAAAAGGAATCAAGTTCTTTGCTAGACTTGGCTCAACAAAGTTAAAAAGTAAAAATTTTAAAATTTCAAAGGCAACTTTGGCTTGGGAGTTGTGTGGAAGTGTGCTTGTGCACGTGTTTCAGGCAGGTAGTTGAAAGGCCATCCTAATCCCAGCTACTCTGGAGGATCCCTTGAGCTCAGTAGTTTGAGATTACAGGGAGCTATGATCACAACACTTCACTCTAGCTTAGGCGACGGAGTGAGACCCTGTCTCCAATCTGAATGGGATGTTTTGTGTCAAGTCCAGATGCACCACTGTTATATCCCTAGATAGTCCTCTTAACTCTAGGACGTAACCAAAATTTTTACTGTAGAGTTAAAACAGAAAGTTAGGTTTAAATCAAGTTTGAACACAATTTGTACTTGGGGTAGTAAACCTTTTCTCTTGAACAAACAGTCCTGGCTTGGGAGTTATTAATAATTTCCAAAAGCTCCACTGGACAAGCATAGGTTTGAGCTCCCTTTTGTGTCATCTGCTGTACCCCTTGACAGGATTTCTCTGCCGGCTTCTTAGGCTTCTCAGTCTCTTGCCTGCTTGACACTCATCACGTCGTGTCCTCAGGGTTAAAGCAACACAGAATGTTGGGCTCATCTCAGTGGGCTTCCTGTCTTTCTGCTACTTTGATCCTCATATCCTGGCTGCCTTAGAAACTCTCCAGGGTCTTCAATATCTTACTTTTCTACTTGTTGTTAGACAGTTGCACTGGTGTGCTATAAGTCACTTTGTTATAGCCAGAAGCAGTAGTTCCTCAGTTTATTTTCTTTGTCTTAAAACTGTTTTCTGGATGGTGTATTGTACAAAATTCCACTTGGATAAATGAAGTACCAACTTTCATTAGTTTTTCATTTGCCTTAGTTAGATGTGTCATTTCTTCCATTTTATACTTTTATTTTAGTGATGACAATATTTCAATTATATATTTCAGTGAATATTTTACTAGAGATAGTAAAAAATTTTTATTAAAAATTATTCAGATTTTTTATTGAAAGTGAGGTACAGCACTAGAATGTACAGTGAAGCCTAAATTCAAAAGAGCTGTATTATATCAATATGGAAAACAGTATAAGAAAGGCTTTTTACAAATGTCATAGTATGTCTCTGATTTTACATTTATTTTTTCTTGACTAATAAGCATTGTTTAAATGTGTCTTTTTGGATGATTGTGGGAAAAATAAAATAGTGTCTTAAAAATTACTCATTTATGTTTAGTTTATGAATAAAATCATAAGTATGACTAAACATACAACTTCTACCATTAGAATTTATAAGTCAATTATTAACAGAAAAAATAACCCAAACATATGCTCTAACCAGAGTGTCAAATGGCACATCTAGATTCAGCAACAAAACTCCTAGAGTCTCTTTTTCCTTATATCTTCATTTGCTTATTGTAATGAAGGACCTTTGGGGCTGGGATATTTTTACTAACTTACATAATAATGAGAAATCCTGCCTAATAGTTAAGGGCCAATATTTGACTTTTTTTTTTTTTTTTTTCATTTTATTCTCCGTGGTACCCGTAAGAATGTACTTTTAGACCTCCAACTACAGGGAGCTTACATGACCATGGTCTCCAGCTGCTGTGCTCTGAAATCCATTGCTGCTTTTGTGCTTAGGACTTACTTTCCAAAGGCTGTTCCCAGCCAGTAACTGAGAGGAGTAGGGATGCTAAAGCTGGCCTGCCCGGTCTTTGAGAGTCATGGCACTCCTCTGTCTGCTCCCTGGCTCGAGCACTCCGGGAGGGCTTGCTGAACCTTCCTTAGATGGTATAGCAATCTAGGATGAGTCCACCTAACCTTCCCTGCCCAATCTCCTCCACTCAGGTCAGGTGTGCACTGTGGACTGCCATCTTCCTGGTCTTCTTTGGCTCCATCCCCATTTTCTATTATAGGAATTTCCCTTAATGAAATTCTTCTTGTATCTTCAATCCTGTCTTGGCATTTGCTTCTCAGAGGTCCTAGACTAACACATTCTCCTACTATGTCTATGAAAAGATACTATCATATGAAATTACTGAGGAGAGAAAGGATGTTTGCTATAATTTTAATGACAATTTTCTCATACTGCTAGATTCATAAATTTAGGAAAGTTAAAACTTCCTGTAATAGAGAACAATTCTTTCAGAATTTTTTTCTTTTATTAGTTCATTGATAATCTCTTTGTATGTAAACTTACTTTTAGAAGGACTTTGAATTGTTACAGTAGTCAAATCAGGAGCTCAGGTTCTTAAAATATGTAAATTTACTCAGGATGATTGAATGGCTGTGATATACTAAACAATTCATAAGTCATCTTTGAGAATTCTAAGGTTATATAATGAGAAATTAAAAGTATTTCTGAGGATGTGTTGATAACTGATATTTTGTTGAAAAGCAGAAAAATCAATACAATGGATAGTAGCAAATTTGTTTCTTGCAAATATTTGGTAAATCTTGCCTTCATTTTGTATGTCTTATATATAAGAATACTTATTCTTTATAAGTTAGTGTTAAAATTTTTCTGTCTTTCTTTGCAGAATCATAGTGAAAGATTTGTTTTCCTTGCAGAGTGGTATGATCCAAATGCTTCAATTCTTCGAAGGTTTGAACTTCTGTTTTACCCAGCAGATGGGTCTGTTGAAATGGTAAATAAGCCTTTCTTTGCTTGAATGTTGGCAAAGGGGGTGAATGTGGATAGGGAGAGGAATAGGATTGCCTTTCATATAATTACTTTTTAAAATACATTTATATACATATGAATTCTTTTTTGTTATTCATTATAATTCTAATGTAAGAAGATAAAAGAAGATAACTTTGTGCTTTTATTTTTAATGTCATCAATAGGCAGATATTTTTGGTTAGAAAACTGAAATGGGATTATTTACATTTTAGATCAAACAATAACTGATAAATTTTTATAGATAAATATTATGCTGATAAAAATGCCACCATTATTGCTATCAAGAAGTCAGGTTGAAGAGGATTGCACTAATATAGTCTTGTTTATTTATTTGTGTCTCTTAATTGTCAACACTTTTAACAAATAGATCTATTTTGTGTTGGGATTTTGTATACACAAGAAAGCAGGAATTTGGGTGTATGACTGTCTTTCTTTGGGATTTATAGGCACCAAATTACTGAATAATTTGGCAATAAAAATCTTTATATTTGGGGTTTAAGTATTAAATTTCCAATAAGAAGCTTTTATGTTATTACTGGATTGGATTAGGAAATACCAAAGTTATAAAAAAATTTATGATTTGTATTTATAGCAAAAAGGGAATGGAATATAACCTATCTTTGATAAGATAGAATTAAGAACTATTTTTACCTTATAATAATATGAATATTCCTTACTGATACTTTTTTATTATATTGTTGTTTTTGGTTCTAGCATGATGTAAAGAATCATCGTACCTTTTTGAAACGCACCAAATATGATAACCTGCATTTGGAAGATTTATTTATAGGCAACAAAGTGAATGTCTTTTCTCGACAACTGGTATTAATTGACTATGGAGATCAATATACAGCTCGTCAACTGGGCAGTAGGAAAGAAAAGTAAGAAACCAATTACATAATCTTTTTTTCATTTGACTTTGGGTCCAAAGTCAGTCTGCATCAAGAATGGGAAGATTTAACCATAGGATAATGCATAGGACCTGGAAAATGGTTGTCCTAATTCTTTTTCTTTCAATTTTTTAATTGATAAATCATAGTTGTACATGTCTTCATTCTGTTTTAATTCATTTTTATATATCCTATGGCACTTAACACATCTCCTCCCACTTTGTAAGCACCTTGTCTATATTAGCTGAATGAATTAGTGAAACAAATTTAAAATGTATTATCTATTTTTCCCTTTTTCCATTTCCTCCTATTCTCAAGTGATGACCCTTGATCTAGTTGGCAAGGAAGTTCTAGATTGTTTGTAACTAATGTTGTCTACTCTTGAGCTTTATTCACAGACATGATATATGTCCAATAAATGTTGAATGATTGATTGGTTGTAGAAAGACATTAATGAGTGTAGCAAAAAAAAAAAAAGAAAGAAATCATATAAATAAACTGACCTGTCTTATTCACAACTGTATCCCTTAAAACTGTTGTAGTGATACTTCCAACAGTAAATTATTCACAGGGTGTGGCCCACAAAACTTTGTTAAATGAATGAATGAATGAATGAGTTTACATCATTGAAAATGTCTGGAGGTATGGTATGCCTGGGCGAAGAGCTTCCCACTGGCTGCATTCCTGCCTTCCTCTCTCCCTCCCAATTGCTCGTAAAGCAGAGAAACTGCAGCATCTGTGCCCTCCACATGTGTCTCTTCTTCTCTCTTTTGTTTGTCAATGCTACATTTGTCATTCTTTTTGTCAGTTTTGATTTAGAAGAGAGACAGAACAAGTTGGAGATGGCAGCTGAAAATTAGGCTATATAGAAAACAAAGACTTTCGATAATGTTTTTCTTCTGAATGTCAATTTTCAGTATTATCAAGATGACACTTTAATTTTCAGTCTCTACATTTATGAGTTTTATCTTTCTGAGACTAGAATGAACTATATTTGAAATGAAATCTTAATTCCCTTTGTCATCTTTCTTGGCTCTTATTTCTTAGCTTATATTTTGTATGGTTTGGAGAATTTTTTTTTTTGCATTTGTGGAGGGATTGTTGCTATAATTAAAAATAGGGATCATTAAAAATAGGAATCAATTAAAATAGGGATCATTGGTGGATATATGAATAATATGTATTAAAGCTATATGTATAAAAAGCTACAAAAACTGTTTAATTCAATAGGAAAAAAAATCAGCCAACTATTTTTTGAGGTCTACAACCCAAATAACTAGCCTATTGCCGAATATCTGAGTCACCTCCATAGTAATATGGTATCTCTTTCTGAGACTTCCCTAGACTTTCCTTACAAGCCCTGTATAATTCTTGAGATGATCTGATGCTTAGGGTGGTATTAATACACAGGTGGTGATGGTTGTAGTAAATGCGCGATATAGATGGTGATACTGAATAATTTTAAGTATTTGCTTAACCCAAACATACCTTATTCATAAGATTTTTTTAAAGGTACTGAAATCATACTTTATATATTTTTAGATTTTTGTAGTTATGGCTGAGCATATATTTTCTGAGATTAGAATTTGATTAATATGAACTATTTAAATTTTTTATATTTGCAGATTTGGAAATGTCATCAGGTATATATTTCTCCAAATTTTATATGTGGAGAAAAATGTCATAAAATCTTGACTATTTTGACTTTGAAACAGCTTCAAGGTTCAGGTATTATTATACTTAAGGAGGATTATACTATTGGGATATAATAATTAATAAACAAATGACTTAAAATACATTAAAATTAATAAATACCAACTGGAATAATTGAAGTATAGAATACTTTAAGAACTATTCCTTTCTCTTCCCCTGATTGCTATGGTTGACCTCTTAAAAGAAAGAGGCCAAAAAGACTCTGAGTGTTCCCCAGGTTTCTGCACATGGCCCTTTTTCTCTTTCTGTACACTCTCCCAGAGGATTCTGTGTACTTCCATGACTTCCAACTCTATGTTGCCTTCCAAATTTATATTATCAGTCCAGGTGCAAAACCATATGTTCAGCTTTTTCTGAACCTTTCCACCTGGATTCCTCACAGGCACTTAAAAATAACAAATCTAAAGTTGAATTAATTCACTTTCATTGAAAAACCTGCTGCTTTTGTATCTAGCACCATGTTCACCTAACCACAGACTTCAAACATTAGAAGCTTTCCTTGAGTTCCATCTTTATTGTATTCCTACATCCAGATGGAGACCTAATCTTATCAATTTGTTTACCTCTTTCAAAAATCTCTCTTATTTCTCTTCTCTATCCTTTACATTCCTTGTACATTAAGCTAGCTTCTGGTCATCTCTTGAGCTCAGTCTCCATTCTTCCTTCCAAATTATTAACTGATAGAGAACTGACACAGGACCCAGATGGGGATCAAAATAAAGTTGTTTGTTTTTTTTTTTTAGTTTATACACTGTTCCTATCCTCCCATTTTTTGTTTTACCAATGTTCTTTTCCTACAATGTTTTTAAGATGAGGACATTAGTGTTTCCTTTTTTTTTTTTTTTTTTTTTTTTTTTTCAAAATGTTACAAGAGTACAAATGTTTTTGATTACATGGATTGCTTTTGTAATGCTTGAGTCAGGGCTGTAAGTGTGCCCATCACCCAGGTAGTGTTCATTATACCTGTTAAGTGGGTTTTCATCCATCCCTTCCTCCCCCCCCTCTCCCCTGTTTGATTTCCATTGAGTTTTACTTCCCTCTGTGTACATGTGTGCTCATCAGTTAGTCCCAATTTAATAGCAGGTACATGTGGTGTTTGTTTTTCAATTCTTTGGATATTACACTTAGGATGATGGTCTCCAGTTCCATAGAAATTGTTGTAAAAGGCATTAATTCATCCTTTTTTATGGCTGAGTAGTATCTCGTGGTATACATATACCACATTTTATTAATCCACTCTTGAATTGATGGGCACTTGGGTTGATTCCACATCTTTGCAATTCGGAATTGTGCTGTAATAAACATTGAAGTGCAGATGTCTTTTTATAAAATGACTTCTTTTCCTTTGGGTAAATATTCAGTAGTGGGATTATTGGATTGAATGGTAGGTCTACTTTTAGTTCTTTGAGGAATCTCCATACTGCTTTCCATAGGGGTTGTACTAATTTGCAGCCCCACCAACAGTGTATAAGGGTTCATTTCACAAGATGCTGGCAAAATAAAGTTTTAATTTTACTTAGGCTCTCTGGTAAAAGCTATGTTTAAAAAGAGTTGAGATTTTCTTCCCATTCCTACTTCTTCCATCCACCCCCACCCACTCCCCCTTTTGCTGATCTGTAACTTGGGGAGAGACAGATCTGCAGAGCAAAGCTTGAGAGCACACTTGCAAAGGGTTCCCTGCCTGTGCCCCAGCCCATGGAGCATGGGAGAGAGTGCTTCTATGCAGGTGCTGGACTCACACTCAGATGTGTTTTTCATGTAGAAGCAGGAAAACAATAAACTGTGCCCTGCTTGAGGGCCTGCAGGTCTGAGAGAAAAGAGGCAGGGCCACATGTGACCAGAAACCCTTCTGTGTGGCCAGATATGGAGGAGCAAATGGAGGAAATGGAGAGGGAGGGGGTGCTTTCTCCTAGGAGTGGATAGAAGTCATTTTATTGATGAGGAGGAAGGGTACACATTCCTGGTTGTTCTATAGGTTTTATATCTTTAAGCCAACTGGCCTGCCAAGCTCTAGTAGACTAAGTCGTCTTCTCAGGCGAGGAGACCAGCAAAATATTAGTTTGGTCTTGCTCTCACCTTTGGGAAAGAAACCACTTCCTCAATACCATTTACTATTGTCACTTTGTATATCGTCCTGGGACCAGTGATGAGCATTTTAGTTTTGGCACCTTAATGCATTAGAGGAAGACCTTAGTTCAGTTACCAAGGCCTTGCTGAAAACTCACCCGCAGTCCTTTCCTCATCTTTACTTATCAATGGTCTCATTGTACATGATGGCTTACTATCGATATATGATAGCCCCAATGACAGCATAAATCCCCCCAAAATGATACAATGAAAAGTACCTTTCCATTATTAAATTCTCAGGGAGAAATTAAGATTCCTTCTATAAAATAAGATCAGATTCTTCCTTTCCATTCTGTAATTCTCTGTCAGATGGTTTTTGGTCACTTAACAGATTAGAGTTGAATTTCCTTTTCAGCTCTAGACTGAGCTGTCTTTCCCTAGGAATGGTTTGATTGACTGTATTTGTGGGTTAATTAATGCCTTTTTGCCATCTCTTTTAGCCTTGCCCTGTTATGTTTTAGGTATGTATGTCTCTTGTAAACAGCATATAATTCTTTTTAAATTCAGTATGAAAACTTCTAGATTTTCATTGGTAAAGTTAGTACCTGTATACTTAATGCTGTAATTATTGGTAGTTTCCTGCTTTTCTATTTTTTTTCCCTCTTGCCTATTTTTGGATTAGTTGAGGTATTTTTCTTCTCTTCAGCTTTTTCTTTTTCCTCTTTATAGTTTTCTATTGACAACATAACGAATTACCACAAACTCAGTCACTTAAACAATATAGATTTATTACCTTACAGTTCCATAGGTCAGAAGCCCAACACAGGTCTCACCAGGAGCAGATCAAGGGTAGGGCTGTATTACTTTCTGGAGGCTCTGGGGAAGAATCTACTTCCTTGCTTTTTCCAGCTTCTTGAGGCTGCCCACATTCCTTGGCTTGTGGCCCCCCTCCTCCATCTTCAAAGCCAGGGATAGCGGGCTGAGTCCTCACACAGACATCTCTCTGGCTCTCTGCAGCTGGGAAAGATTCTTATGATTTTCAGGGCTCATGTGATTAGATTGGGGCAATGAGAGTAATCTAGAATAGTCTCCACCATTTTAAGGCCTATAATCTTAATCTCATCTGCAAAGTTCCTTTCGTCAGGTAAGGTAACACATTTGTAGGTTCTGGAGATTAGGACATAGACATCTTTGGGGAAGCTCTTATTCTG